AGGGTTTAGGGTTTAGGCCCTGGACTCCAGAAGTTACTCCAGAACGAGCAATGCCAAGAAAACCCTCTCAGCCGACCGAAGACGCGCGGATCCCCGCAGCCGAGCCCCAACAAGAATCCTGGTCACTTTGCTCCACGGGTTTGGGGTAGTAGGGTGTTACGGCTTACCATAATTACTGCTATTGCTATCATTATTACCAGTATTATCAGACTTTTAGCATTATAACTCTTACTGTTATTATTGCTACGGCTATTCCTATTACTTTGAATTTTCGGGTACTATAGGGTTACAAAGGGGGAAGACAAAATGGAAATGATTACGTATTTTGGGGTTATGGTCAGAGCCTAGCACTAAACCCTGAACCGTAAACTCTGTTTACCTGGATCCAGGTTTCCTCCTTTATTACAAAAAGTGGGATCGAGCCCCCTCCCAAAGGAAGCACTTCCAGTGTTTAGGTAGGGTTTAGGGTTTAGGGTTGAGTCCCTAACCTTAAACCCAAAGACCTAATCCGTAAACCCCTAAACCCTCATGATAAACCTGACCCACAGACAATTGGGGTAATATCTCATAGAACCCCACGTAACCCCTTGAAAGGGACCATATTTCTTTCAAGTAGAGTCATATGAAGATGCTAAAAATTTCCTGCACGACCATAAGCACCACGTAACACCTTGGGAATCAAGGTAGGGTCATGGTTTAGGCTTTAGGGTCTAGGGTCTAGGGTTTAGGGTTTAGGGTGTAGGGTCATATAACTAACCCTAATCCTAAAGCCTCAGGGTCCTTCAGGATTTTTGAGCATCCACAGTTGTAGTCCATTCATCCAAGCTGCAGCCACCAAAGTTAAGTCCCACACGGTCTAAAAAGGGGCCTTACCAATCACCAAACCTGCGGGTCAAAATTGCTCGGGGATTTAGCGCTTAGGGTCCCAAATTCTTTGCACAACTATTATGGTACAGGGCACCTCAAAGAGAATTCAAGTAGATATTGGTAATATGATGTAGGTCGCTACGGTACACAGCTTCTTCTGCCGAAGAAAAAGAAGGCAGTCCTCCCACACATGTCTGGTCTTTGCAGCAGTGATGGGAATCAGGATTGGGTTTAGGGTTTGGGGTTTAGGATTTAGGGTTTTAGGGGAGGGGAGTATATGATCCCGTCAAGCCAAGGATGCCGTTGAATTCGTGCCTCCAGAAGAGGAGGAGAAGCAGCAGGAAGTGTAGCTTTGCCTGCAATACAAAAGCTTGCAAAAGTGGAGAGGTTATGATGGGATACATAGGGCTGTAGGGGAAAGGGAAAAGAACATGACAATTGCCATTTATGAAATTTGAGTTCGGTGTTTATGGATTTATGGACCTAATTTATTGGAATAACGGAGAACCAACTGGCAAAGAGCATATGAAGACTGTGGATGGAGGACTTTTTGTACAACAATACACTCCCCAAACCCTCAACCCCAAGCCCGGAATTAGAGTATCATGGCGCTCCTAAGTGGTGATTTCCTCCATCCACAGTATATCAGTAAGTCTTCAGGCTTGTACAGTAGACTGTGTTTAGGATTTTAGGTTTCGGGTTCACGTTGCAAGAAGCTTCCGGATTGTGCTAGGAGCACAGCATCAGATGAGCGTTAGTCTGAACTCCTCAAAGGGTGGGTTGTATAGGGGATTATATCAGGGAGTATTGTGAGAGTATGTGAGAGTTATGAAGGGGGATACTCGGAGTTAAGACTACGGCGAAGACGGTGATATCAGACGGTTGAAGCTGGCGTCGAAAATCCTACATGACCTTGCGTCGTATGCCTGAATTCCCTTCATTCCCAAGGTAGAAGGTACGTTGGGTCATACAGGATTTTAGCAGCAAATGTCCCTTTTTTTTGGCGCCTCTATATACCTCGGAGCCTATAACCCTAAACCCTACACCGCGCATTGTGGATGGTCATATGGTATATAACCCCAATGTAGTAGTTTCCATTTTCTTGTCCATTATCCCCATAGAGCCCCAATATGGTCCCTATAATCCTTATATATTTAGGGTACCCAAAGGGGGACCCTAAACCCTAAACCGCGCATAAACCCTAAACCCATGGGGTTTCAACCAGAGCATCAACTTACTGTCCTCAGCCGCAGACGTGTTTTGTGGTGTCTCCTGCAACTTCAGTCAAATATCAGGGTTTAGGGTTTAGGGTTTAGGACTCGGGGCTATTCATCATGTGGTCATGGGTCATACAGTAAGAACAAGAAGGGCAAGATCAGCAAGGCCAGTTGAGAAGCAATGACAGTGAAAACTATGGTTTGAGGTTTAGGGTTTAGGGCAGCTGTGACAGGGCTAGCAGTTTTAGCCACAGAAGAGATCGCAAAGCAAACCTTATCAACGTGGCTCAATTTGCCAGAGCAGCATAAATAGTGCTGAACGAAGATCAAAGGTCATATGCTTATGTGATGGGTCCAGTTTCAAGAGGCGGGTGAGTGGAACAAAGCCCCGAACATACCTCGAAACGTCGCACCTGCACATACCCTTCCAACACAAAACTAAGTTGCTACTAAACTTGCGAAAAATGCAAAATAAATCCCGTTGCGGGCAAGGTATCTCCAAGCGTGGTGAACGTAGCTGTGTTTCTAGAAGGAGGCCGTCCTGCTATGTATGCAGCCTTCCCAACCCCATATTATCTGAAATCATATGGGGGGCCCTAGTGGCATCTAGGGTGTATTCTTTAATCAAGGGATGTTGGGCTCCGTATGATAGTCCCTATAGATCCACGGGCCTCTATGATGCTTTAGTGGAGGTGTGTTGCCCTCCCTCAAGTTATCCAAATACCCTCCCAAGACCCTTCATGGTAGATTTTTAAGCCGAAAGTAGTGGGTACGATCGCTATATTTGTATGGTTTATTTGGGAGGTCTAGGCCCCAAAAACATAAACCCTGATGATGGATAAGTATTCCTTAATATGCCCTAGCCTTGAGCCATATTGGGCTCTCTCTAAACTCTCCAACCCACACCCTAAACCCTGGAACCCTAACCCCGCAAGCCCATGTCAACTTACCGTTACTTTGTGTTCCCAAATTTCCTTCATTCAAAAAGTTCAAAACGTCAAGCTCCGAACCCTAAGTACTGGTAATCAACCCTAACACCTGAAACCCTTGACCCCAAAACCCCAAAGCCACTAAACCGTTCGCCCTGAAACCCCTAAACCCTAAAACCTAAAACCCTTAACCCCCAAACCCCTACAACCCCACGACCCTAAAACCCTGAAACCCCAAACCCTAACCTTGTGGGCTCGTCAGGTTCGTCGAGGAAGCGACGGAGCGTATCCTAGCGGCGGAGGCCCCCGTCGAGGCCGTGGCGGCGCCTGGGACATTCTTCAAGTTGGGTTTTAGGTTTTGAGGTTTAGGGTTTAGGGCTTAGGGCTTATAGGGATTAGGGTCTAGGGTCTAAGGTTTA